TTCGTGGAAAAGTGCTTTCCACCAGCGAGGATAGGGCAGTAGTACAGGGCTTTGGGTTGGGGGCCAGTGGACTTGGGTTTCTCCCTGCCCCAGCCATTCGTCTTTTCTGAACCCACTGGCTGCCAGGACAGGTGATGCTGGTAAGGGCATTCCCCCACCCTTAGTCTCCTACTACTCCTGGCCCCAGGGTCTATTCCCCAGTCCTCTCTAGACGCCTGGCCTCTGTAGCTGCTGGCTTCTTGGTCTAGCCTGGCATTTGGGTGGCTTGCGAAGTCTAGCCCAACTGCCTCCTGCTTCTGAAAAACCTCTCACCCTAAAACCCATCAGCACTTTATATGAACCTCTTTTCTGGCATCCATCTCTCTGCATTGAACTAGTCACCGCTTTACTTTTGGAATTTTAAAACAAGGCAACAAAAACTTGAATATGGCCAGAAGCCAGTGGAGAGCAAGGCCGGAGGCCACAAGTACAGGAATGTGAGTAAAGGCCTGTGTGCTGGCTGAAGGCAGGTCTGAGTGAGGATGTGAATAAAGCAAGAAAATGCCCTGGCTGGGAGGGACAGACTAGGGGAGGGCATAAAAGAGGGCACAACCAGGCATAATCCCAAGACAATGAGTCACTGAGACCCCTGCACACCAGGGTGCAAGGCTGTACAGCCCCTCCTTGTTCACATACCTAGACTGTAGAGAGACAGACCCAGGTCTCATTGTCACCTGGAACCTCAGAGAAGTCATCTCTTGACTCTGACACCAGGATCGGAGGTGCTCAGTGCCAGCATAAGATAAGCAAACAGGATATCTGCCACAGCAGCTGGCAAAGATCTGGCACTCAATAAACATGAGTTTTCCCTTTCCCCCTGAAAGCCCATGTATACACATAGCACAGACCACAACAGCTGATTAATAATCACAGCAGAAAACAAAACAATGCTGAGAAAATAAGTATCCATATGTATAAATAAAGGTGTGTACATCTAAAAGGCAGGAGTACTCTTTCCATTCTTATTTCTTCTTCCTCTCATAATATGGAACAGCAGGTAGAAAGATTTCTCGGAGGTTGCTCCAAAGCCCGTGGGAATGAATGTTCTGGTAGATTTGAGGCTCTGCTGATGGGGGCCGGACCACCACAGGACAGAGTTGGCACCAGGCCCAGTCACCTTTGTACCACTCATTTGTGGTCTGGTTGGTGGCTGCCAGGTACAGAGCAAAGCACAGGTAGCCCCCCAGGAGGAAGCTCAGCACCATAACAAAGCCGAGCAAGAAGACAATCCTTGGAAATGTCAGGAACAGGTACTAAGGGCAAAGAAGATGCAGAATGTTAGGAAGAAAATGGTGACATCCATGAAGGTCAGCACCCACTAGCCCAGATCTGGTCCATGAACACAACAGAGCCACAACCTCAGCTCATCTACACATGTCTAAATATAACCCACTGAGCCATAATCAGCACCCACAAATAGCCCAGGAATCACCCTGATATGCAAGCATTTACTCTGGAATGAATCAAGTATTCATACTGAGGGAAAGACTATCCAGGAAATGGAGCTATGCCAATTGAAAATTTACAAACACAGACCTTAGTTCATGAACCAAAATAAAACCCAGATGAACAAGAGAAACCAATGTCTATCTGAAAACAATCTGTCCACAAAAATACATGCTCACTGTGGTACTGATTCTAACAGCCTGTCTTCCCAAAAGAAACATTAATATTCCTCTACAAGGAAGAGCAAAATAAACTCTGGGATAGTTACCACTATGGAATAATAAAGAGTCATTGAAAACCAAGGTAATTTCTATGTACTGATTTTGAAAAGATTATGATATATTGCCCAATGAGAAAGGCAAAGTTCAAGGATCACATTTTAATCTTTTTTTTTCCACCACTTTTTTTTTCTACCCCTGAACCATATCCTCTGTCCTAGAATAAAGAATTCTTATAATAATAAAAAGGCAAAATTTTTAAATGGGCAAAGGTTTTAAGTAGATATTTCTTCAAAGAAGGTATACAAATGGCCAACAAATACATGAAAAGATACTCAACATCATAAGTCATTAGAGAAGGGCAAATCAAACTGCAATGAGATACCACTTCAATGTCCATCAAGATGGCTATAGTAAAAAAAGACAGGTGTGATTACATGCACTTGTGATCCCAGTTACTCAGGTGGCACTTAGGCAGAAGGCTCTAGAGTTCAAGGTCAACCTCTATAACTCAGTGAGAGCTCCTTTTCAAAATAAAAACCAAAAACAAAAACAAATTTTTTCATTTTTTTTTTAAAGACAGATAATAAAAAGTGTGAAGAAACTAGAACCTTCATACTCAACTTCTGGGAATGTAAAATGGTACAGACACTTTGAAAAAGAGTCAGTTCTTTAAATGGTACTATATGACCCAGCAATATATTCATATAAATTATCTCCACATAAAAACTTGTACAGAAGCATTTTTCAAAAAATAGCCTCAATGTGGAAACACCCAAATATCCATCAACTTATGAATAAATAAAATGTGGTATATCCTACAATGGAATATTATTCAGCCATAAAAAGAAATGAAGTACAGATTTATGCTACAACATGGATGAACCTTGAAAATATTATGCTACTAAAAAGAAGTCAGTCAAAAAGGCCATGTATATGAAATGTCCAGAAAACAAATTTATGAAGACAGAAAGTAGATTTACAGATGCCAGGGTCTAGGGGAAGACAGAAGAGGGTGTTTCTTTTGGGGATAATAAAATGTTCTGAAATGATATAGTGGTAATGGGTGTAAAACTCTGTGAATATACTAAAACCACTCATATATTTTGAAGAGTGGATTTTATCGTATGAGATTTTATGTAACTTTTTTTTTTTTTTTTGGTACTAGGGATTGAACCCAGGGGCACTTAACTGATTCACATCCCCAGCCCATTTTTATTTTGATACACAAGTCTTGCTAAGTTGCTTAAGGCCTTTCTTAAGTTGTTGAGGCTGGCTTTGAACTTTCCATCCTCCATCCTCAGCCTCCTGAGCTGCTGGGATTATAGGCATATACTACTGAAACTGGCTGTATCAATTTTTTAAGAAAAACAACATCTTTGTATTTTCACTAGGAAAAGAAACATCATTTTTACAATTCTGAAAACAGAATTCAGAGAGCCACTGCATAATTACCTGAATAAGAAAGGCTGTGTCCACAGCCTGGGAATGTCCAAGGTCATCGATGTAAGTTTCCTGGTAGAGGTCTGACATTGTCACCAGGCGGACCAGAAACATGGTGCTTATAATGGCCATGACGGCAGCTGACGCAGTCAACGTCAAAAGGTAGATGAGGAAGTACCTGGTATTCCAGGCCCCGATGCAGGTGTTCACCCAAACACAGTGATGGTCAAAACGGTGCACACACCAATTACACACACCTGCACAGAGAAGAGGGAGCCACAGACTGAGTTTGTCCTTGATGAGACATGACACCATGTGCACTTTTACAAGGTGACTAATGGCAATAAGAGTGTGTGGAGGAAGGTGGGGCAGTGGCAATTGCTATCACCAAGCTTTTAGAACCATAGAGTCCACTACAGTAGCCACTAGCCACATGTGGGTATGGAGCACTGCAATATAGTTAGAAGAAAAATATGAAAGAATACTTTGTCAATATTGACAATATTACAGTTGATTGCAATTTATACAATACTATTTTGAATTCAGTGTGAATAATACTGAGGTAACATGAGAGGTGGTGAACTTACTTAAAATGAACAATATGAACATGAATAAATGAACGTGTAGTTTTATTTATTTTTGCAGTTCTGGGGAATCAAACCCAGGGCCTTGTGCTTGACAGGCAAGCATTCTACCACTGGGCCACATCCCTAGCCCCAAATATGATTTTAAAACTGATGGCTTTGGGCTGAGTTGTGGCTCAATGGTAGAGCACTTGGCTGGCATGTGTGAGGCTCTGGGCTCCATCCTCGGCACCGCATATAAATAAAAAAATAAAGTAAAAGATCCACTAAAAAAAATCAAAAACAACTGATGGCTTTGCTTTAAAATCAAGTCAGTTCTTCTGATAAAGATGAACCATTTAGTCAATGTAGATTTTCACAGGAAAATAAAATGTTTTGGTACTTAATTCACTTATTGGAAAACTTTTAAGAGTGTCTGGATATAGTATAAGTGTTTAAGTCTACTCTTTCAACTATAAATTTTATGAAATCTAAATTCAGGTCAAGAACTTCCAATGAGAACTTAGTACCTGAATGGATATGTGCTATAAAAGTAAAATACACCAGATTTCAAAGACTTAGTATGAAAAAAAGTACACAGCTAGGTGCAGTGGCACATGCCTAATCTTAGCAGTTGGAAAAGCTAGGCAGGAGGATTACAAGTTTGAGGGCAGCCTCATCCATTTAGCAAGACCCTGCCTCAGGAAAAAAAAAAAAAAAAGTAAAAAGGACTGGAGACAAAGCTCAAGTGGTAAAGCACCCGTGGATTAGAACTCCAGTACTAGGAAAAAATTAAAATAAAAAATAAATTTAAAGGGTTGGGATTGTGGCTCAGTGGCAGAGCACTTGCCCGGCATATGTGAGGCAATGAGTTCATCTCAGCACCACATATAAATAAATAAAATAAAAGTCTATCAACAACAACAATAATAAAAAAAAAATCTTTTTAAAAATAATAAATAAATAAATTTAAAAACGGACTGATGCTGGGCATGGCAGATCATACCTGTAAGCCCAGCAGTTGGAGGATCATGAGTTCAAAGTCTGCCCCCGCACTTGGGGATGTGGCTCATGTGGTAGCGCACTCACCTGGCATGCGTGAGGTACTGGGTTCCATCCTCAGCACCACATAAAAATAAAGTAAAACTATTGTGTCCACCTAAAAATACTAAAAAAAAAGTGTGTCCCAGCAACTTAATGAGGCCCTGTCTCTAAATAAAATATGAAAAAAGGGCTGAGGATGTGGCTCAGTGGTTCAGGGCCCCTGAGTTCAATCTCTAATACAAAAAAACAAAACAAAGCAAAAAAAACAGATGGAAGGGGAAGAAGGTGCTGGGGATGTAGCTCAGTGGTAAGGTACTCCTAGGTTCAACCCCCAGTACCAAAAAACAAAAAGGAAAAACATAAATTACCTCATGAATATTTTTACATTGATTATACATTAAAACTGTATTTTATTTTTTTTTAAAATATTTTTGTTACATATGATAGTACAATGACTAAACTTGTATTTTAGGCCTGGGGCTGAGGTAGAGCTTAGAGGTAGAGCACCTGCATGACATGTATGAGGTCTGGGTTCAATCCCCAGGGCCACTAAAAAAAAAAAAGATATTTCAGGACATGGGTTTAAATAAAATATGTGATTAAGTAATTGCTTCTTTTGCAATAAGGCTACTAGAAAATTTTAAACCACATATGTGACTCACGTAATATTTTTGTCAGATAGGAAACAGCCTAGAACCTTAGGCATTCCCTAGAAGACTAGGCTTAGCTAGGGCTAAAATCTGCACACAGCAGACCATAAAAGCATCTCTCCCATAGCAAAAGAGAGCTATTATGCCTAGGGTTGAGGGTAGCCTCTGTGCAAAAACATACAACCTTACCCTTAAGTCATCTGAAAGAAACCACCATCTGGCCTCCAACAGGAGCAGACAACCCACATGTGGGAATCAAATGGCTGTCTTTTTAGATTCATGAAATATCACCTTACAGATAAAGCCCACGCATGCACTTGGGAGGGTCCACTGGAGCCCAATAGCCACACTCACTGCAGTGCTTGGATCGAGCTGGTTTCCTTAAGTCACAAGTAGAACACCTTGCATTCTTTGGAAACATAACTTCATCAAATTCATAAACTTGAAGAAATAATAATTCATTTTCTTTTGTTATAGTGCCTGAAAAAGATAAGGACAAATGCTAGTTTCAAGCAATATGTAGACGGGATAGTCACAAAGCCTGTCCCAATATAACAGAACTAAAACTGCTAGTTTCAAGCAATATGTAGACGGGATAGTCACAAAGTCTGTCCCAATATAACAGAACTAAAACTGCTATATTTAATATTTTAGGTAACTCATTTTTTATATCTGCTTTGACATATAATCCATAGATTCAATTCAAAGTATACAACTCACTGGTTTTTAGTATATTCAGAGTTATACCATCATTATCATAATCAAGTTTAGAATATGATCACCTGAAAAAGAAACCCATTAGCAGTCACTGCCTACTTCTAATGTCCCCAGGCCCTAGAAACTGCTAATCTATTTTCTTTCTCTATGGATTTCCTTTTCTGGATCTTCATATAAATGAAATCATATAATTTATAGGGTTTTTTTTTTTGTGTGTGTGTGTGTGTGTGTGTGTGTGTGTGTGTCTGGCTTCTTTCATCAGCATGTTTTTATGGTTCAGATAAGTTAGAGCCTGAATCTATACTTCATTCTTGTTCTGCTTTGCATGCTACAGATGGAACCCAGGGTTTCTCTTATGGTAAGCAAGTGCTCTACCACAGGCTCCCACCACAGTTTCTAGTCTTTTTTATGGCTGAATAATGGTCCATTGGATGGGTTTATCACATCTTTTTACATTCATCACTTAATGGACATTTGGTGTTTCAAGGACCTTAAAGTATAAAAGTAAAACAATAGGACAGAAAAAAGAATTACTAAGCACAGTATAATAAAATTAAAACCAGAGAGACTTGAGAGCATAGAGCATTAGCTATGATAAAGAGGCTTGATTTATTTTGAAAAAAAGACTGAAAGATTGTGAAGTATTATCCACAAGGAAAGGATAATACCAACTCTAAACATGACAATGTATTTAGTAAGAATATATATGTGCATAATAGTTTATGTGCAGCAATAAAACTAACAAACTATGTAGAAAAGCCATCAGAATGAGATAACATTGCTGAGAAACTGACTAATTAAAAAAAAACTAGTATGGATATAAAAGATTTGAACATAATTAACAAATCTGATGTAATATGACTCTTGTTGAATACAGTGGTGCATACCTATAATCCCAGTGACTTGGGAGGCTGAGATAGAAGGATCACAAGTTGGAGGCCAGCCTCAGCAACTTAGTGAGGTGCACAAAAACTTAGGAAGACCCTGTCTCAAAATTTAAAAAAATAAAATAAAAAGAACTGGGGTCACCATTTAATGGTAAAGCATTCCTGGGTTCAATCCTCAATACAAAAAAACAAAACAGGGGCTGGAGTTGTAGCTCAGCAGTAGTGTGCTTGCCTCGTACATGTGAGGTACTGCATTCAATTCCCAGCACCACATACAAATAAGCAAATAAAATAAAGGTCCATCAACAACTAAAACAAACAAACAAACAAAAAAGCCAAAAACTTAGAAAATATAAACTCTTTTCAAGTACATATAAATCATTGCAAAAACTGACCACATACCCAAGCATAATGCAAGTCTCAAAAAATTTTTAAAAGGGAATATTATCATTCTGAACATATGTTCTACACATATACAATCAACCAAAATAAGATAAGCTTATATGTGTGTGTGTGTGTGTGTGTGTAAAGAGTTCTAAGTAACCCTTGGGTCAATGACAAAATAAAAAACTGGAAATATGCCAGGTGCTATGGTGCATTCCTGTGATCCCAGTGACTTGGTAGGTTGAGGCAGTAATATTGTAAGTTCAAAGCCAGCCTCTGCAACTTAGTGAAGCACTTAGCAACTCAGTGAGACTCTGTCTCTAAATAAAATATTTTAAAAGGGCTGGGAGAGCAGGGGTTGTGGCTCAGCAGCAGAGTGCTTACCTGGCATGTGTAAAGCACTGGGTTCCATCCTAGGCAACACATAAAAATAAATAAATAAATAGATAGATTAAATAAATAAATAAAAAGGGCTAGGGATGTTGCTCAGTGGTTAAGCACCCCTTGGTGCAATCCCTGGTACAAGGAGGAAAAAAAAAAAAAAACTGGAAATATAAAGTTAATAAACCCATGACACACAAAATCCTTTGCAAACTTCTCAGAGAAACCACTACTTGTTTGCAGTACTATCAGTAAAATAGTTGAGCTGTCTCAGCCTGTATGCTAAGAGCCTCAACTTACCAGGATTGGTTAAACAAGTTAGGGTGAAGAAAATCAGGCATATGATTAGCAACAAATACGGCAGAAGAAGGTAATACAGAGAGAATTCCAGCTCTTGACAGTAGCCAAATATTTCCCAGGTATATTCAGTATAAACTGTCCCTTGCAAGACCAGGTGCAGGATAATGAAGGCATGGTTGCTGAAAGGAAACAAGCACAGCTTATTCATAGGGTTGCTCCATTAAGAAACTGTACAAAAGGAAAAAAACTAACCAAGGGCCAACCATGTCCTTTAAAAATTAACTAAGAAACCATTCCACTCTTTAAATATGTATTTTCAAGTAGATATTAATATCCCAGAGATGGAAGGCAGATTACCCATGAGTAGAGAGGCTCTGAACCCAGCATCCTTCCCATGCTGAAAACCACAGGAGCTTCCTGTAGCTACAGATTAGCAACAATTAATAATCAAGACAAAAACAGAGGATCCCATTTGAACTCTGAACTGTAAATACCGTGTATGGAAGAGGTAATGAAGCAATTTTCTCACGGCTCTCTGAATGCATTCTGGAATTATACAGGAACATATCTGAAAATTAAAAATTAAAAAAAGTTCAATTTCATTTCTCACCACCACCCCCATTCCCACAATATCGATGCTCCACATACAACTGGTAGCTTTGTTTCCTCCTATGGGTAGTAAAACAACTTAAAAGAGAATTTTTAAGAGAGAGAGAGAGAAGAGAGAGAGAAGGGCTTCCTTCTACTGACTTGCCTTTGATGCCAATTCTTTCACTCCTACCCTGACCCCAAAAATGATACCTGTCAGGTGTACCTTCATGGAAAGAAAGGTAAGCAGAAGTTCAGGAAATGCTGATGTGAAGGCTGCTCCTTCCCCTGCCCTGTATTCAGTCCACCCCCAGATCACCAGTACAAAAAAACCTTAGCCTAGGTCCCTCCCACATCAACCTCTTCCCATGAGCAGCTTGCCCCAATTTTGCTCACTTTGACCCTTAATGGAGAGAAGGCAGACAGAAGCTCAGCTTTCAGAGCACACATCCTCGGTTTCTCCTATCAAGTACCTCCAGAAGAATTCTGCTCATGTCTATGCCCAATTACAGGCATCATATCCAGAATTTAAGAGCCAAACTTAAGAATGCTATCTTATCTCAAAGCATCAATACAAGATTACTTTCAGCAGTAACAAAAACAAAACAGATAAACTGTGGAATACACTAAAACTTCCATAAATGAAAAACTAAATAAACCAATGAATTTAAATAGCATCTCTTTCTTGTCCTGTTGAAAAACCAGTAAGTCCTTTAGATTAGGGCAATGTTCAAACTTGAGTGTTACCTGTGCTCCTCCCTGGACCAGACCTTTCAAACGGTTGGTTTTGGAGCAAATGCAGACCATAACAACACTAACCAGCATGAACACCAAGTAGAACAAGAAGAGAATCAGGAAGTCCATCATGGTGGCTGTAAAGGAACAGAAAGAGTATGACTAGCTACTACTGAGGGATTTACACTATGGTACACATTCTCAGACATCAACTCCAGTTCTCAAAACAGAATTCCCTGCCCTCGGGCACATGCCACAGAGCCCTACTACTTTCAGTGGGGCCTCTTAGATCATCCTGAGCTCTCTTTTTCAAGAGGAACACTGTGGCCTGCCTTTGGGGCATTTCCTGCCTGCAAATTCCAAGATAAAGTGAAGAAAAATGTGGGTACACCTTCCTTTCCCATAATAACAAATCTTTCTTTTACTTCCTTAAATATTCATACAGATACTGATACAGAAAATACTCCCCAAAATCTGATGACAACATCATCCAAATAGGTAGCTCCTGGAGGAAGTCAGGGGGCCTATACCCAGCACCAGGCATCATGTTCTATAAAGCACCCCTTCAGGTCAGTGGTCACAACTCTCAGGGATCACACACAGGAAACAATATATGGACCTGTGTTAAGAAACTGGAAGTGGTTACTTTGGCTCTTAGCAGACAGGATTCTGGACCGGGATTGAAACTTGAGATAATCAAACCAGAAACTGTTCAAGAACCGAAAAGCAGCAATTCGCACTCATGAAGTAATTCAACGTCTCCTGCCTACATATTTCTGTTGGTTGTATGCTTTATCAGCTGGTGGCTCCGGCATTCCTCTTTCCAAACATCCACGGAGAATTAAGGTGGCAGATCCGCTTCCGCAGTGGTGTGCCCCTGGTACAACAGGCAGCATCCAAAACTGCAGGAGCCGTGGTTCCTTCAGGAGGTCGGATCTGACTGCAGAAACAGATGGGTTCAATATTCGCATATTGAGATAAGTGTTGGAGTTGGCAGCGGAATGCATTGTGGAAAAGGATTTGCAAGTAGGGGATGTTGAGCCCACCCCAGGCGTGAACGATTAATAATGACTTCTGAAGAAACAGCTAATTAGGAAAAAAATAGGCCGGGAGCCTTGGGTCTACCCCTTGTTATCCCTACCCTTGAGGCACCCATGCTGGAGGCCAGGCAGAGCGAGGCCAAGAACTCTCTATCCGAGGCTCCCAGGCCTGGCCCGAGCTTTCCCCGGATGCGGGAACCTGCGTAGGGGGTGGGGGGAGGCAGGTTGCAGCAGGCTGAAGGCGGATTGTAGCAGCCCGGGAAAGGACAGGTGAGGCCAGGGAAAGGGAGCAGGTGACAGCTGACTTGGAGGAACGCAGGGAGCAGCGGTTGGAGGAGACACGGGGGCGCCCGGGTGGGATGGAGATAGCACTGAGGCACTCTCACACACCAGGGAGAGGGGGAAGGCTCAAAAATGGGGACCGAAGGCCCTGAGCAAGCAGGGGTGACAACCCCGCAGAACCAACCTTACCCCCAGCCTCCACCACGAAGCCGGGACCAAGCCGGCGCCCTAAGGAGACTTCCGGCAAACAGGTGACGTCATCGCAGCGCCCCCCCCCCCGCAAGGCCTACTTCCGGCGGAAGTAGGAGCCGGAGGCTGTGTGTTGTGGGGTTGCAGGATTTGGTGCCGCCAGGAAGTGGGATTTTGGAAACTGCAGATTTACTAGAGGACCACAGTGGGTCTGACGCGGGAGGGTGCCGCGGCTGGGAATCGGGCCGGGCCGCTGCAACCGTGGCCCGGGTCCTAGCCGAGCAGGGGGCCCAGAGCGGCCGCGCTTTGGAGATTCCTGTCCTGTTACCGTGGCTTCGCAGCGGACCGCTTGCTCACAGCCAGCAGCACCGTTAGGATTTGCCCGAACCATTCCAGCATCTTCCACCGCAGAAGGCACGCTATGTGACCGGCTGGGTCATATTCCGCTCCTCGCGCATCCCTGCTTCTGCTCTCTGTACAGCTCTGAGCATCCTCCCCCTGGAGGCAGTGACTAGTGCTTGACCGGAAGCCTTGAGGATGAAAGAGAAGGCTGTTTTGATGATAGTCAGTCTTGGGGCGAGAAGAGCTGCTTCCAAACATAGCATGGAGAAGGCCCCTGTGGAGTGTTCCTTAGCTCTAAACGTTTCCAAATCCACTGAAAACTGTCTATTGATGCCTTTGAAAACCTGAGCCAGGATAGTTCTTCCTTTGAGGAGAAATATCTGGTCTCCAAACACTGGCCTCAAAGCTCTTTCCCTGTTTGTCTTTGCTGCCTGACCCAGCTACTTAATTTCCACCCCCCACCCCCCACGCCCCCGCTTCTACTTTTTTTTTTAAGAAAAAACTTACCAAGCTGCGCACCTATTGAATACATTATATTCAAGGCCTTGACCAGTGAGAACTAGTAATGGATAAAGCTCAATCTCACATCCAGAGTTGGGGCTGGATTTCATCTGTCTCCAGCTGATTTCACCCTGTTGGTTAAAACTGAGCTAATACCTGGTGGTTAAAAAAATTAAATTGTTTTCTTTTTTGTTCATAAATGCAGAACTTTATTTTTTATCCCTTTTTCTTTTCTCTGGATGGCTTCAGTTCAGACTTTGAATCTTGACTTGATCACCTATTGTATTGTGCTGGGCTGCCTTTAATTTAAAAAAATATATATGCAAAAAATACAATATATTCTTCCTGTGAAAGAGTCAAAACTATCTAAAACAAAACCTTCCGTAATCAGTATTCTTCCCAAATTCCAATCCCTGGATGGAATTACTTTTAGTGTATATCCTCCAAAGCCCTCTTCTATGAATTTATACATATATATTCATTTAACACAGGTATGATGAGTGCCAAATGTGTCCTAGGTGCTGTTATAGGCCCTGGGAGCATAGCAATAAACAATAAACAGACCCTGTCTCTAAATACAATGCAAAATAGGTTTGGGGACGTGGCTCAGTGGTCGAATTCGGCCCCTGAGTTCAATCCCCAGTACCATATATATATAAATAAACTTCTACTTTATTACGGAGTATTTCTATATACATAGAACAATATGAATTTTATTCACTTATAAGGTTTACATAGTGCACACAATTTTGAACTTTGCTTTTTTATTTACCTTTATAACAAGTATTTTTCATCTAACAAGGTAGTTTTATTTATTTCTCAGTTACAGTATAATGAGCTTAACATTTTATTATTGTTGGAAATTGTATTATTTCATACTTTTTAATGTTATGGGTAGTTTTGCAACTAGCATATTTATAGCTTTTGTGTGTGTGTGTGTGTGTGTGTGTGTGTGTGTGTGTGTGGTGCTGGGGATTGAACCCGGGGCCTTGTGCATGCAAGGCAAGCACTCTACCAACTGAGCTATATCCCCAGCCCATATTTATAGCCCATATTTACAGCCCATATTTACAGCTTTTTATTTATTGATTTTTAATTTATTTTTCAGTGCTAGGAACCAAACCCAGGGCCTCACACATGCTTGGCAAGTACTCTACCACCGAGCTACATCTCCAGACTGATAGCTTCCCAACCCCTCTCTTGGGCTCGTGGTCACCTAGCACGTGCAAGGCCCTGGGTTCGATCCCTAGAACTGCAAAACTAAAAGCAAACAAAAACTCAAGATGAATCTCTCAGTGGTTGGTCAGTTCCTGAAAATCATGTACTTCTAGCATTTTATTTTTCCTTTCTGTTCTTCAAAACCTCTAATCACAAATATTAAGGCCTGTATTTTATAAGTAGAATAGAAGAAAACACACCAAGCCTAAAACAAAAAATTTACTTCAAAACCTCTAATCACAAATATTAAGGCCTGTATTTTATAAGTAGAATAGAAGAAAACACACCAAGCCTAAAACAAAAAATTTAATTCAAGTGTGATAGGAAGGATTGTATCATCTTTGATGCATGTGGCAAATAATCCGTATTAGGAGTATTCCTGAACCTTCCTGTCAGCCCCTGAAACTAAACCTGTGGTATCAGTTTTTTACCTGCTGCAAGATCAGTTGACAGGATCAATCACCTTTTGCACCATTCGCTCTTCTCCCCAAGGGAATGACTTTTCCAATACTTTGGAAATGAGATACAGGACTTTAGCGCTGCTCCTTTACAGTGATTTGTTAATGGTGAGAATTTTGCAACAGAGAAACAAAGAAGAAAAAAGAATTGCAAGGAAAGTATTTTTGTTGAAGGGCAAGAACTAGATGTGTGTTGGCTTACTATTATGCCAATAGTAACTATTTTAGTACCTAGATCATAGTAGATGCTCAAATGTGTTGAATGAGAGAAAAAGGGTAAATCACACTGGAGAGAAATCTGTGTCTTAGCTAATACTAAAAGAAAAAGTGCTCTGGCCAGTAGGTGGCGCGACAAGTGTCACTGTTAAGTGACTTGGAGCACATAGTATGGGTACCCAATTCACACTTTAGAATTCCCACTTGCCTTTGCTACTGTGATTTATGTCTCTTAAAGCACTGTGCTCAGGCACCTCTGGAAGGGAGTGGTCAGGGCAGAATCTCCACTGCCTGACTTATTTCTGAACTGGTCTGAACTGGCACAGCTCAGCGTTCTTTGGTCATCAGGCTTCCTGACTTCCAGTCAAGGATCTTTTCTTCTGCCCATGTGGCTTTAAACCAATTTCTCCACCTCTCTGAGCCTTGGTTTCTTCATTTGTAAAGTGAGGATAAGAGAATCTACCTCAAAGGGTTGTTACGAGGGTTAAATAAGATAATGCACCTAAAGGAAATTTAATAAATATTGACCATAATATTGTAGATGCAATCCTCAACATTAACAAATATGATCAACACAGAAAAACAAAGCAGAAAGTAATTCTGGTGCAAGAGATTTGGCATATCAAGACATTTTGTGTTATCAGTAATAGTAAGCCCAACTCAATCTGGACTAAATAACAAATAAGACTTCTTGTCCTCTGCCACAGGAATGTCCAGAGACAGGGTGACTTCAGGAATGGTCTGATCAGTACTTAATGACATCAAGAACAGAGCTATTTTGTTCCTCACTCTGCCAGTGGAGTATCAACTCCATCTCCAAACCAGCCTTCCTCCTGGTGGTAAAATAGCCGCCAGTCACCGTTGTGACTTCATGCTTCCATATTCATATCCAATTAAGGGAGAATGGGAGGATGTCTACCCTAGCATTCCAGATAGGAGTGCTGAGATTAACTTTGATTGGACTGTCTTGGGTCAAAAAGATTTACTCCTGAACCAATGATAGAGTCAGAAAATGGAATGTGCCACTTAATGTGAGTTGAACAAGGTCCCCTGCTGTATCTGCAGGGAGGATAGTTTCTCCCACAGCACATGAGCTGCTCAGGGAATGGGAGAATTTCAGAAAGGCCTGGGTGATACTAGGAAGAAGCATGCATTCTGCATAGGCCATTGATAATTGGGCATCTAACAAGTTGTGATGTCTGGAACGATGAGAGAAATATGTCAAAAAAAGTCCCCCAAAGTTAAGATTAAGCCCTGTATGGATAAAGGCACAACATCGAAAATGTGGAATGCTCTGGGGCCCAGCAGTAACTTGTTAGGTGTCCTTCTCTTCCCAGACTCAAAGGCAAATCTATTAATAAAATCCCTTCCTGGCAGCCACCTCCTGGTGCAGATTCAAGGAAATGTGCCTTCAAAGGCAGGGGAAAGAAATTTTATCCACAAAGCTGCAGTCGCACAGTGGTCCAAGGTCACCCCCAGAGGATGCAATTCCTTAGGAGCAAGAGAATGTAAAGAGAGAAGAGGTGGAGGTGCTCCAAGCCCACAGAGTACAGGAAAAGAGGATGGCAAAGAAGACCAAGTTCAAATTGTCAAAGAAGTAGGAGAACCAGGTCAGAGGGCCACTGTGGAAACCAAACAGAAGAGATTCACTCTGATCTCTCCAGGGAAGTGCAAACAGGTGAGAGCAATGGAGGGGCTAGTAGGAGCCACCCATGGACTCCAGGAAATGTCCCCAGGGGAATGCAAAGGTAGCCTGCCATCCTGCCCTGATGATGACTGTAGACTAACCTACCAGGTTCTAAAGCTACCTTGACCACAGGAGTCAGGAGGAGCAATGTTGTTTGCTACATTTATTTATATCACTTTGTCCAGGCATGATTTGGGGTGTCTTGCACAGACACAGAAAATAAGATAAAACAACTTTAAAGTGAGTGGAGGGCAGAACAAGACAAAGGGAGAATTCAAGTAAGAAACACAAGGTAAGCCAGGAGCTGATCCCACTCTATGGAGGAAGTTAGGTGCTCAGAGAGGCCAACATCAAGGTTCATGGACCAGCACCAGACTGTGAGGTAGGTGATAAATGAAACTTGGTTATATGAAATCACTGAGATTGGAGGCTGTTTGTTACAACAGCTAGCATTATGATGCTAATACACTACCCAAATTGGTGGTAGTGAAAGCATAGCACAGCCCAGTGCCACCCATTAAGCCTGTCCTCGAAATACCATTATACCATTGGTCAACCTCAGCTCAGTCATGGGGATGGACAATCATCTGGAACAACCCCTTCCCCCACTCCTGCAGACTGTCACACCCACCCTACCCTTGTCATCAAGGTCTTAAGGGTACAATGCAGACACACACAGAACTGGGCAGGAGTACATGACTGCAATATATAAATCCTCACTTTGGATTCCATCTCCTCATCCCTGAGTGGCTGGATATGTCGGGGGAGACTTGGCAGGGAGAGGAGAGATGCCAGCCAGTTTTAAACCAACATCTGGGTTTTCCCA